TGTGAAAGATTTTCATAAAAGTGAATAATTTCACTAATGAACGAACAAATGAACAAACCATGCCAACAGAAATGAAGAAACATATTTGCACCGTACAGCAAAATGCTTTTATATAATCTGCACAAGGATGCTGTTGATTTATCGTCAACAAAACATCGCCAATCTTCGTTATACTACGCATCAATTCCTCTTCTCGACTCAAATCAATGGATATTATCTGAAGAAAGGCAACATGAAAACAGAATTAGCCTTTAGCAACTTGAACTTTCTGAAGAAAAGAGCAGTTTACAATCAAGCCTTCAAGAACAATTTTCCAGATGAAATTTATTCAGGCATAATTTACATAACTGAGAATCTGTTCAACATGAAAGCGATGATGAAGAAGTGAGTCAGGGATGGAAACAATATACCGAAATGTGCATCATTTGAGGGGAATTAGAAAAAACCTTATGGATAAAATTTCTACACTATAAGAAGGGCGTAAAAATAGAATAAAACAATTACCATTGCATTAGAGAGACGAAAGAAACATTCCATGGGTGCATCACCAAGTTGCTGAAATATTGTTACACCGGCATCCATTATTTCACACGCACTACCATAATCATTCAGTGCTCGATGAATCTCCTGAATAATGGTCTATTCGCTAATGAATAAATAATACACAACTAGCTGATTACTAAAACAAATATTAATCTAGAAACTGGGTTTTAACAGAGATTAACTGCATGAAAACTGAATAAGAAATATTTTCAGAATCAAGAAGATCCGAACATAATCTTGAAAGTTTCATTAAAATGTTGGGTACTGCCACTGATTGCAAAAGTATTTTACGCCCTGAAATTAATATTGTGCACCCTCCACTAAAACTACTTCCAGATGGCATCATTAAACGCTACACAAAAATAAAGCATCCGTGAAGGGAACAAAGACAGAATCATATGAAAAGTATTCGTTTTTCCGTTGCCCCAACAACTATATAAATTTGGAACAATGATTTCTTATTTTAAAAAAAAACTTGATATCTTATCAAAGAAAAAATTAACGTTGCAGTATAATTCGAAAAAAAGGATAAATGGATACGTTATCATACAAAGGACTATAAATCATCATTCAAACGAATAATTCAATGAATTCTGGAAATCGTCTAATGCGTTCAGGAAGTTTGCATGGTTCAAACACATTTGATCTATCACCTATGAATTATATCCATTACACAGAAGTGTTAACTGAATAAAGACCATTATTACTGTTACTATAAAGTGAATAAATTTATGAATTACCGCAAGCAAGAAGAGAAGACGTGCGTGAAGAATTGGAAATGTGCGCGAATGTTGCGATTCTTGTCGTAATAATTGTTTGACAGGTTCATAAATTCGTAGTTGCAAATAACATTCAGCTATCAAACATGCTGCTTCAACTCGTTGCTCAGCAAAATCCATATTCAACTCTTTCAAATAATGATACTGCAAAACAACTGATCACGAATCATTCCATGGAACATCCATATTGGATCTTCGCAAACTGCTTTATCAATTGATAACGCCTACCGAGTAAGCAAAATGAAACTCAGATATGATTCCTTTTAAGTTCATTCATCAGCTGATAGTAAAGGGTGTAAAAACAAAATTAAGTTATTAAATGAACTCTTCGAATGATTATAATTGTAAGGATAACGATTAAAAATGATAGTAATTCTAACCGCTTGCTCCAAGCTGAATTTCGCTAATTCAGTGTTGACTGTATAATAAAAATAAAGTTTGCCAAGTTGCAAATGTGCGAAAGCATTCATTTCACGTGACATTGGTGTTTTGAAACATGCCTGAATGAAGAAGAAAATTATTTTGATAATGTAGGTACCAGTATTCAATTAACAAAAAGCAATAATGCTAGCAACACACTCTTGCACACTTGATAGCCATTTTATATTTCGGTGGTTCCATCGTACGGAAGTGTTCTGACAACGCCAGAAGTGAAAAAGCTGCATGGTCCAGAGGTGGACTATAGCCTGAGGGAATATGCCTCAATATACCTTCACTAGCCATGACTTGAATTCAATACGCAGGTGGACAGGCACGTAAGTACCTACAATTAATAACTGCATGCTTCATTACAAAACAATCTCATGAACAATCTATGAAGAAACAAAAGTGACGCAAATTAATAAAAGTACGAAAACAAGGAACGACAAATGAATCGAATGAATGAAAAATAACTGATAATATCATACTTCGGCTGAGATTCAACGAAACATATACTTTACATAAGAAATTTCAGTTAGCATCTAGAACCATTCACACAAACGTATTATCAAAACAGCAACTTCAATAAATTGCAGTGACAGTTTTCGTTATTGTGGTATTTGGTTGCTTTAGATTGAAGAATGCATTCTAAAGCTAATCATCGCAACGTACGGTGATGCGCGGGTGGAAAGAGACAAGACGAGTGGAGCTGAAAAGATGGAAAGAAAAGCGACCGAGAAGGAGAAAGAGGAATAATACCTTGAAGTTATGGCCGCAACGCGTAATATTTCCCGTTTTTTGCATACTTTTATTTGTGAGAAGTTGATGATTTTTATCGTAAATATTTCATTTAGATGATTTATTTGTTATTCATTCCAATTTTCATAATCGATTTTTCGTGTGAGTATTCTTATGATTTCCTATCAGATATAGCTATGGTCATCGTGCATGCAACCTCTACTGTGCTAAATATTTCAACATATTTATCTGATGTTTTTGCAAACTACACACTGCTTTTGTTAGAAATTATTAAAATTCATTTTTGCATTAATCTGTTGTGCATGTCTCTGAAAGTTTCTTTGGAGATCCATTAAAGTTTATGGTGGCTTCATTTATGATGAGATCCATTTAATAACATTGTACGGTGATCTTCTTCTGAAAATATCGCAACTGATTTCTGTTAACGTTACATGAGAGAACCTATTTCTTCGGTAAATCTCAAGAAAATTCCTCAGGAGTTTGGCAGTGTTGAAATGTTCGGCGATGCAATTTTACCAGAAAAAATTTTGCTGAATCTGTGAAAGTTATTGTCGAAACAGAATTTATGGAAACATTCATTTAGTTTACATTGGCTTTTCTTAATTTTGGCTTTCCTCCATCTCATGTTTTTCAATTAGCTCTGTCCATGTTTTTCGTTTTGTGAATAACACGACAGTGCTCTTTGTTTCAGCTCGTTTGATTACCTTCGTGTGATTCAAGAATGAATTTTACCCGCAGATAGCATTATGAGTAGGAATAGATGTTTAGTTGGCATAAGTTGTTTTATCTCTGTGAAGCCGTAATTGTTTTCATTAATTTGTTCATTGTAGAGACTGATTTTGTATGGATGTCCGTTGAACAGTTAGATGCAATGAACACATTTCATCATCTGAAAAATCTTCCTTCTTTGCTCCATTCAGCAACCAATAGAATCAATTCTTCAAACATTTATATTTTTTCGGCAACCTTTAGCCATCAATATGTCCAATCTGACAATTAGTTCATATTGACGTCGTCAATTTTTATTTGAAATGTATATATGTTATATTCGTTATACTTCTAGTTTATCATCAAAACTGAGGGAGTGTTATCGTATGTTACTGCATGCTTGAATGTATCATCATTTGAGGAGGGTGCTTCAATTTGGAGGTTCACGCGACAGCCACATACACCAACATATATTTGTATTTGTTTATGCATTCATCGTGAAGTGATAAAAATCTGAATTTCGTAAAATTCGTGGTGCTTTTTGCTTCGCAGTCAGCCATTATTGCTTCACAACGAAGGTATTCTCGGTTTTCGATTTGGACTTGTTCATTGTGTTCATTTTTCCATCGTCTATTAGACATTATTTTATTTCAGTTTACGGATAATAATTATAATATTTAGAAGACGATACGTAAGCATGAGTGCAATGGACGTTGATGACCATCAGGCGTGTACGTCTATGGACGTTTCAGATAATTTACAATTATCTGATCAGATTGAATGGCGGTTTTCACAAGTCAAAGGCAATATTGATCCCGACGAAGGCATTACTTCAGATGGTAATACCTTCGAATTATTCACTACATTTCCATTAATCTTTTCAATGTCGCTTTGTTTTTTAACTATCACTTGATATTTATTTCTTTACTTTTCAAGCATCTCATTTACAGCTGATATCATTTCTTGTGTTGAATTTTCGCACGATGGGGAGTTTCTAGCAACTGGTGATAAAGGTGGACGTGTAGTAATTTTTCAGCGTGATCAAAGTGTAAGTAATGCTGGTCTTCTCTTTTTAATTTGTCTCGACGATAACAGTGACCATTGCGTTTCATGTCATATTTCTAGTGTATGCCTAACGTAAATTCCGACGTTCTGAAGTAACCTCCAGTGCAAATGATGTATAATTTTGAAGGGGAAATTCGTGAATGGTCAACGATCAACAGATTATAACGTTTATTCAACGTTTCAATCGCACGAACCAGAATTCGACTACCTCAAGTCGTTGGAAATTGAGGAAAAAATTAATCAAATCAAATGGCTCAAAAGGAAGAACGCTGCCAATTTTATCCTATCGACTAATGGTGAATTTGATCATTTCATTTCATACTGTTCAGTTATTTTATCTATTTGATTCGCCATTCATTTTTTTAAAATTCTACAGTGTGTATATTCATTTATCCATGAATTAATTTGTTTTCATTTTTGAGACAAAACGATTAAACTTTGGAAAATTTCTGAGCGTGAGAGGAAAGTGGCTGATGGAGGTTGGAATTTAGCCCGTAACCCGGATGGTTCGATTGGTGGTGAGTTGAATATTTCTGTTTTTTTTCAGCTCTAAAAATTGTGCAGCGGTACGAGTGAGTTTCAGTTTATACCGTTTCTGTGTTTTTCTGTACGTTTTATACGTCTATGAACGTTTCAATGCTTCCAATTTATTACGTTGGCTATGTTCTTTTATCAGTTGAATCTCCCTTTGTTATCATTTTCTTAACTGAATGTCCTTCTGTATTTTAGTCATAATAATAAGATAGATAATTATTGATTGATTATTCATTAAGGGTTTAATGGCCATTTAAAACTTCCCCAGTTAGTACCAATGGAACTAATTGTTGAAGCATCTCCGCGTCGAGTATATGGCAATGCACACACTTATCATGTGAACTCAATTAGTGTTAATTCTGATCAGGTTGATCGTTGTTTTTTGCCAACCGTTTATGTTCGTGTATTGCTTATTCATTTTTCTCTTTTATAATCATTTTCTTACTCATTAAGTGCTGAAATGTTGATATCAGCGCTTTACGTTTGTTTTATTCAGGAGATGTTCCTTTCTGCTGATGATCTTCGAATTAATTTATGGCACTTGGAAATCACAAACGAAAGTTTCAGTAAGTGCTTTTATGCGCTCTTTTGAAGTAGATCGTGCGAATGCNTTTTTTTTAGATATTGTTGATATTAAACCTGCGAATATGGAGGAATTAACTGAAGTAATAACAGCAGCTGAATTTCATCCAACACAATGCCATTGGTTTGTTTATAGTTCATCAAAAGGTTCAATTCGACTTTGCGATATGCGTGATCGTGCATTATGCGATACACATGCTAAACGTACGTTGGTCCTGCTTTTTTTGTTTTTATTTTGAAGAATTTGTCATGGAAGAATGCCCTCTCTAATTTTTCGGCCTTCCAATTAAACTTTCACATGCCTTATTCCATTCAGACACTTTTTCCTCTTCACTCACATCTACTGTTAATCTGATCTATTTTTCAAAACAAATTTTAGTTTTCAATGGAATGTTTTCTTTTAGTATTCGAGGAAAGTGAAGATCCGCAGAGTCGTTCGTTTTTCTCAGAGATTATAGCATCTGTATCCGATGTTAAGTTCTCACATAATGGACGCTATTTGCTTACGCGTGATTATCTAACTGCTAAGGTATCGTCGTTATGATTGCGACTCTTGTTCGATCTTGCTCAATTTTAAGATGAGAGCATTATTTTGTTCTTACGTTAAATAGAGAATTGAATGACCATATGCAGCTGCTCCTGGGAGTCGAATCCTCTTTTCATTTGCTTAGTGTGCTGACTGTTTTGTTTGTGTATGTTAACTTGTTCCCATTGAGGTATGGGATGTGAACATGGAATCAGGTCCAGTTGAAACATATCCGGTGCATGAATATCTCAAGTCAAAATTATGTACTTTATATGAAAATGATTCGATATTCGATAAATTTGAAGTGGGCTGGAGTGGTGATGATGCGTAAGTTGCGTTCATCATACTTTTCAAGCCGATTTTTTCAACACTTAAATATCGGAAGTGATTGAATGAAATGAAATAACCAATCATCTTATTTCCTAATCTCATATGGATGTTTTTATTTCTTTTTGACTAAACGAATAATTCTTGTAATTACAGTCAGATTCTTACGGGATCGTATAACAATTTCTTTCGAACATTTCAACGAGGTTGTCTAGAGACAGCAAAAACTTATGAGGTTGGTTATTTGCATTTAAACTCTTGAATCAAATGGAATTTTACATATCATTTATGAATTGCTCGTGTTTATGTTCTGTCATCCAATCAATTGGACCGTTAATTTTTTGTTCATGGTTTTTTAATGGTCCAACGTAAACGAATGTTGTGAAACGTTTTAAGGCGCACATTGAAAAACCGGGAACAGCGCTGCGTGCACGACGTGTGATAGCGCAGGGTTCAACTCGTGGAAGTAAGAAACGCGCACACACAGGTGGTATACCTGACTCGAATGCTGAAGAAGAGATTAATGCAGACGTATTGGATTTCACTAAGAAGATTCTACATACTGCATGGCATCCACACCAAAATATTATTGCTCTAGCTGCAACGAATCGTCTTTATATTTTTCAAGACAAATGAAATAAGTTTACGACATATAATTGGTTTATTCATTGTGTTGATCCGTTCTTTCTTCATTTTTCTATTCATAATCTTCTCATTTCAATTGATTAGATTACTATTGCTTCTATTACCAATCCACCTCTTCATACTGCTCGTGTTCAAGAAGTCTCTACGCGTGTGTTTGGTTTTCAAACGACCTTTNGGGGGGGGGGGGGGGGGGGGGGGGAGGATATAGCATTCTGGCATAAGAATGTTTTGGTGCAAGATGTATAGTGTTGAACTTATCGAAATTATGGTGACCTGTTAAAAAATCATTCAGTTGCGAGATTATATCAGCAAGAACAATTCTTAATTTGTATATGCAATTTTTTAAATGACAAATGATAGTTTTTATACTATTCCTTTTCTTTTATAGAACAAAAAATTAATTTTGTACTCTTTTCGTATAAATGCAGATGGAAATGCCAACTTTGTGAAAAATACTATTGATTCGGCAAAAATTTTTTTCTTTACTAAAGTTTAATCTGATCATCCACAATATTTTTTCAAAATTCATGGTTTACAAAGAACAGCCTACATGGTTGTGAAAATGAAGAGAACTCACGTTAATCATTCCGCCAAAACATTCTTCTATCCATCAAGCTATTTGCTTATTAGGATGTTTCAACTCATTGCGAGTTTATGCCTGTCTGTTATCGTCAATATCATATTATTCCTTTCTTCTTTCCGCGCAGTTAACAATATTAGTGCAGCAATTATCTGGCTTTATGATGGTGTAATTTCGATTCATCAATTCGTATTGCATCCAAATTTTTAACGTTTTCGTTCTGAAACAAAAAAAAGAAACAAACAAATTATGAAACTTGCATTTTACTTCAGTTTGGGCTTCTTTCTGATAAAATGATGTCATTGTCTTAATCGTCTTTCACTGGATGCTTGCAATTAGACTTCTGAAAATGGAACGCGCTGCGCAGCAAAGTTTTGATCGACAACCTTCTCATTATTTTTTGGTCATCCTCTTTTCATTACTGTTATCGATTGAAATGATTGGTGTAAGACTGTAATGACATTTGTTTTTCAGTTTAAATTGCTTATGTTTTACTTCAATTCATGCAGAGAAACATACGTATTGTTACTTTGAGAGGCAATTTGCAATGTGAACGATAGAAGACTAAAAAACGAAACGATTGTAATTTTCGCAATGAATACATATTTTATGAAGCACTAATTTTCGCAATGAATACATATATGAAGCAATTTTGTCACTGCAAAAATGAGTTAGGCTTATTATAAATTATTGCCATATTCGCCTAAATGATAATTAAATCTCCAAATGATATTTGTTCTCAATTTGCGGGGCTTGTAGTATGAATGAATGTGTTTTTATTTCGAATCATTACTGTTACTCGCTCTTTTTGTGAATGATCAATCACTTCATGTTTGAGTCGTTAATTTATGATTCTTAATTGTTGGAATATTTGAAAATTTGGATGCTCGTAATTTTCAAACTTTAATTGCTCGGTTAATTGTAAACGATCATCTTTCTTGATTCTTTTTAAATATTTTGTGATATGCGTGTATTGTCGTGTTTTATGTTTTTCCATTGATATTTTTCAAATTCCAAAATATTTCAAATCGTTCATATACAAAGACCAATTGATAAATGTTCTGTAATATCAGTCATGCTGTACAATCATTATTCCCTATATCTCATCGTCTTTTCCTCGCACTCACTTCGTTTCTATAACACATTTTGTGTTTTTTGTTCTAAATAATACACTATATGGAATAGGAGGTTGCACTTAGCCAGTTTTTTGTTCTAAGCTTCAGTTTGACCGTAGGCATAATTAGTAATCTATCTTTATCATATTTTCAAGAATTCCTAAGATAGAATTAGGCGCAAAAGTTTTACGTTAGAAACTGGTAGTATTATTTGTTTTGGTTTTTTTTCTGCGCTTCTCATATTTCTTTCTTGCGTTATATCAGTTTGAGTGTTTTCAAGAGGAAGAAAATAACTCATATAGATGTATATGTCGAAACCTAGTTTTCCGTTCGGACCTACACATGCATTGAACCTTCGAACCGACCGTTTAATTAGGACAAATCAAAATTCCAGCCGATACAGCACTTATGGCACACACATTTTCACGCATACCTTGCATATAACAGGCCCACTTTTTCTTTTTATTTTTTCTTCTTTCGAGTTCGTTAACAGTTTTAGTTTTTGAATGTTTAAATTAAGTTTTATTTCTGAATTTAATTGATCCCATAAATATCTCACTCGGTCCCATAAAAAGTTTAAATATATTCGTCGTTAGGTATGCACTTGAACCGTTTTCGGTTTTCTGTTCTTATTCATGTTCGTCGTTCGTCTTTCATTTCCTTTCTATGGAATAATTTATTTGCAGGCAACAACTTCGTTGTCCTTTTTTAATAGTATTCATATACATCAATTCCCATTTTCCGGATTAATTTTGTCTTTATAATCGTCTAATTGCTAGAATCGTTTTTTTGCTCCTAATCATGGAACAAATTAATACTTGATGTTTAATTTATTTGTTATCTTTCACGGTATGAATTTCCATTTTGTATTCTAGCCAAATCTCATCATTTGTTGTTCTATTTCGTAGTTATGCTTTTTTCTTGTTATTAGTATCATTCAAAATTATTATTATTATTTTTACTTATTGTTGTGACAATAATCAAACTATGATTACCATTTAGTAGGATGACATTATTTCGAAATTTTCAGCTAGCACTTAGAAATGCGTATTTATTGGCTTGGTACTTGCAGTATTTTTAAGTTGTTAATTTGTTTTTATTTGGATATTATTGTTCGTTTCTTCAGTGGATTGTTAGATAGATGTCTTGTTTTAGGTTTTTTCTATGTGAAATTCTGTCTTGTTTGATTTGCGTGAATTTTTTTCAGATAGACTGTATGAAATACATGATGGAGTCAAGTTACGTATTTTATTAATTTTTCTCCTATTGTTCGAAAAATTTTTTTTCAAATTAAGCCGATCGTCTGCTTAAGTGAGTTTTGGCTGTTCGGGCAACAAATTACGGGCTCTACATACGACTTCTTTTTTTGTCTATCATCGTGTGTGTTTATTTGCATGTATATGTTTTCTAATTTATGATTATTATTTAATCATTGACATAGGGTTATGATTGTTTTTCGGTTTTTGAAGTTATATTTTCGGTTGTTTTGATTGTACGCATATATTAGAATGATTGTAATGTTTCATATGTTCAGTTTTTTGTTATTATTTTTAAAATTTTCGTAATTCCTTAAACTAACTCGAGAAGCTGAGTGCAGCATTCGCGTCTTTTATAATACTTTTGCAGTGTTGCTACTTTTGTTATTCACTATTATTGCAATGTTCGCGAGAAATGATCACTGAATTGCAGTTAATTACTTGGTGTAAATTGAACAACTCGTGACTATCTATCTTGAAGCGGTGTATCTAATTTCACATTCAAATTTGAATCTTATGAAAGGTTAGTGCCATTATTGTTAGTATTCATGCTTTTCGAAACAATCATTATTGGAGAATCGAAATGCGTAGTCGTAAACATTTCTTCATTAATTGTTAACTTTTAAATTGTGATGTTTTTTGCTGTTTTCAGCTTTCAAGAGAGGCACTTTTCATTAATTTAGATAAATGTTCTTATCAATAGTGATTACTTTCATCTATCTGTTTCCTGTTTGATTATTCGTTTACTTGTTTAATCGTTTGTTTTGTTTCATTTTGTATTCTTTTATGCTACAGTTTTTGTGTATCTTTTCTCCATCTTATCATCGTTATTAATTTTGATAGTGAAATTGTTGTTCCAAGAAAATATGATATTTCTATCTTCGTGTTCATGTGCGGTTGTTGTATTTCAGTTTCTGTTTTATTAAATAAATCAGTTTTACGCGTTTTTTACGTATGCGCGTACATGTGTGTCATGGTTGGAAAGAGAGGGGCGGGGAGGAATCCAGGAGAGGAATTTTTTCATCAGGACAAAATCGGCTTTTAATATGTTTTTCCAGTCTGGGTAGGTCACTTTTCGAAGTCCTCTGCACTTTTCGTGTCGAAGTACCGGGAAAAAAGCGAGATTTTCCAAAAAAGCGGATTTTACAATGTCACCTGAAATATCATACTGAACTGCAAACGATGCAATTTATATTCGATTCTAGATGCGAAAATGAAACGAGCATCGCACCCCTGCCTTCGACGTCACGATTAGTCATTGTGTATGACAAAGACTGTTGAGCAGCCACCGGCAAGTAAGTTTGGCCTCAAGCCAAAATTTTTCCAAGCAGGTGACTGGCGGGCCAAAATATCACATCAAGCAGAAATTCAGTTACATTGTCATTTTTGTGTTTACCAAAGAAAGGAATTATTTATGAAAGTGGAGGAATCCGATAACAACACTATTATTTGCCCACAGTCATCTATTAGGAAATACTCTACGGCAGTGTTTCTCACGCTCGGATGCTCCATTACCTCTTTTGATAATCTGGCAGGCTGCCGTTTCCCCCTCCCTCCTGATATTTCTCCTCTTATGGCGTGAAAGAAATCAATTTTCTGGAATGAAACAAGTATTTTTAGAACTTTATTTATCCATTACAGAAACAATATGAACCGCAGCAATCAAAACCGAAAAGCAGTGAGAAAAAAACATTCTTCAGCGATATACTATTCATGAAGAAGGAAGATGCAACGAACATTTGAGAAATTATCATCGAGATGAACGGAAAATCAATCATTCCATCAAAGTGATGGTTAATGTATATGTAGAAATTCATCGGAGGGATGAAAATAAATTCGAACTATTGAGCGCTTTGAGATGCGACTGGTGCATGATCTTTAACCAATGATCTTCTCTGTCGTACCAAAGAGCTCAGTCAGTTCTTACTGCTCATGAGAGACAATGTCAGCCAATATGTTAAAGCACTTACGAAATAAGTGTAACTACTTCAGACTGATTTCTGTTCGGGCCTGGGCGAGCTAGAGATACTCAGAAAATAG